CTCCCTTCTTCCACCTCGCACCCCTTCACGTCGCCAGTGACAAGATGTCACGGACGCATCTCCGCCCCGCAGTAGAGACAGACGCAGCGATCGTTCTCGTCCCACACGGAAACGCACGAGTCTGGCGGTCAGCTTGTTCCCTTCCACACCGGAGAGCTTACTGCCTCCGTTGCGCTCGTCCTTGTCGCCAGGGCAGGGCTCCTCGTCCTGCGGGTCGAGGGGCGGGAGGGGCTCGGGCGACGACATGGTGAAGGCGGCCGGGGAGGACATGTCGGTGGAGAGTGTTGACGTGGAGAGCGATAGGTTGTCGGAGAGCGTAGGGGGAGCGCAGCGATGAGGTGTGAGGAGGATCGAGGAGGAGTCGAGGACGGGTTGTGGTGGTGTTGGCAGTGTGCTGGAGGTGGTTGAGCACCCCGATATCGAGTGGTGAGAATGAAGAACGAAGAGGGGAAGACGGCGAAGTGTACTCCTTATATGTCGTGTCCCCCGAGCCCAGCTGCGCCTCGAGACTTGCCACGCCGTGGGAACCTCGTGCGAGGACACACAAGATGCTGTGCGAGTTCTCCCGTCAGTCTAGACGGGACCTGGGTCGTAGTGAGCGTCGCAAGGTCAAGTGTGCGAGTGTGCGAAAGCGCGCAGCCCTTGGCATCGTCCCAATGAGGCCGGGGCTCGGCTCCAGTGCCGCCATCGCCTCATGGTAGACTGTGAGGTCAGACGAGGAGGCGAGCGTTGTGCAAGGCTGGGAGCGACAGTATAGCCAGCGTCGTGTCAGTTCGGAGCTCGTTGTCCACAAAGTCAGGTAGTCTGCACGAGGGGCCGTCGTGCGCGGTTGCGTTGGCCGCGAGAGTCGTGCGAGGAAAGGTGTGCAGCTGCCTGTGTCAACGCTCAACCGACACAACAGGTTACGACAGGTTGAAGGCTGCGGGGGTCCTGATGGAGTGTGCGAGTGTATCAGCACGCACTCGTCAGTGTCGTGTTAGTCGATTACTGTGTTACAGCTGAGTCGTGGCCTCGCTCTTCCTCTTTCTCTTTCTCTCTGACGCCTCATCCGCCGCCGTCAAGGACACCGCAGCCGACGCCTCTGAGCCCTGCTCTCGCCATTAACCTCAAGTTCTGCATCGATCTATCGTACCCCAGCCCTCGATGGGCGTGCGCGCGCTTTCGACTAGGCTCTCGCCTCCAGGCGGTTGGCAAAGCCGAGCCGCCGCCACCGCCCAGAGCCTCAGTGCCTGCTGAAGTCAACGCCGCCGCGCGATCCTCGTTCTCCGACCATCGGGCAACGACAGCGTTCGGTGACGAGGAGACTGGTCCAGCAAAGTCCAGGCGTCATGAACGTGGTGTCAAGCACTCGTAAGTCAGCCGTGGGGTCCGGGCCGAACTGGCTACGCCAACATACGTGCTAGCGTGCGGTCGTGCGGCCGAGATTCGAGAGTGAGTATGGTTAATGCATTTTGCGCAGTTATCTGCTGCTCTAGCAGTGCTGTCGTGAGCCCGATCATCCGTGGACCCGTAGGCTGTATAGCTGTACGCGCCTACATGTGCGCCATCAAGCGTCCACGCGTCAAGGGCATGCCGCCGTCTCGTTGGTTCGGCTCCACGGTTCCGACTCTAGACTAGCCAATCGATCGCCAGCAGGAGGACGGCAGGGCGTTTCGTGTTTCCATTCATGAATCCTGGGGCTCGAATTCCTGGAATCCTCGATCCTGGGGGCCCTCTCTCCATTTCGCGTGCTCGAGATATGACGCGTCGAGGATAAGACATAGGATGAAGACTTTCGTGCATTCGTTCGTGTTACAAGGGTGGGGTACAGATGGGGTGTGAACAATGGGGTTTCGTGCGTATATGTATTGCGTGTTGGGCGTGGGAGTCTTGAGTCTGCGCTCCGGATCCCGGATGGCTTGATGGGATTTCGTCTATAGTGCGTTTTGTGCGTCGTGGTCGGGTCGTGGGTGTCGAGAGTGTCGGTTACGTGTGTTTCCGCTTTATGAGCTTGTGTCGTACGCCTCCGTGTCGCGGTGAGGGACGAGAAGGGCGAGATTGTCGCGATGTGGGTGGTGCCGATGCAGCCAGCGGTGCAGGAGGAGCAGGCTGCAGCGGCTGTCGGAGGAGTCACCCGATCAGCCCCCCACAATAGTGACACCAGACATGGCCGTTCTGGTATATCGACGGGCAGCATCTGTCTGCCCCAGTCAGCGCTCCTCCCTCCCACAGATGGTAGCTGCTTACTCCCGACGTTCCGGCCATAGACATCCCCGCGACAGTGCAGATAGTCCCAGTGGGTCGAGTACGTCTGCACCGCGCGCGCCTCCTGTGCGTAGTAGTGTTGCGGACCGTGCGGCGTCGAGGTGAGGTAGTAGGCATCCATGATGCTCCGTTCTTGTTGCGTGTATGTAGCTGAGGTGAGGGCGGTCACACGCTCGTTCCAGAGCTTGCTATATATTCTGCATGGATCGGAGCAGCCCGCTCACCTGCCCGCCGCGCGCCGGCGGCAAGCTTAGGATCAGTGACTGGACCAGCTAGCTGGTGGTACGACAAACGAACCGCTACGTGAGAAAACCAGGGTGAGAAAGCGTAATCTAATTCAGCGTTGGCCCAGTCGTGCCTCGGTGCCTTGGGCCGGCGGTGTGGGCGTCCAGCCCAGCCAGCCCAGAACGCGGTGTGACAAGGGTACAAGGGTTTTGGGCTGGAGTGACATCTTCATCACGGCACTTTTGCACTCCCCTTACCAGAATACGGGTACTGCCGGTTCAGCTGGTAGAGAATTCACCGCTGTTTTGACGTACTGCGCGCTGCGTGATTCGAGACCTTGTCGTGCAGCCATGAATTGAGAACGAAACGCGTACCAGAGACAGCGTTAGATAGCGCAGGGCACGGGCGGCATGGACGGGGCAAGGGCTTATCGCAGAGGTTTCGGCGTCGTGGTGAATAGCCGGACTAGACCGATGGCTGCCAGTGACCTGTGCCTGGCTGGGGAAGCGAGGTCGGTGACGGGGCGCGGAGCTCGGAGGATAGCAGCACGCGGGGGGCCATGGGCCGATCTGCGTCTAGAGTTTAACCACAATCCAGCTGACGGCACTGGTGCGTCATGGAGGCACGGCTACGAGCAGATCGCATCAGGCCGGTCCAGACGATGCAAGTTGCCGAGGGGATCTATCCCAACTTCGGAGTTTGCTGAGAGCGTTGCTGATATCTGCTGCTGAATGCCCGGTCTCACCTTTGAGCGCACAGTCTCACTCCGGGTCCCACAACATACCTCCGCCTACACCGCTAGTGGCTACTGATACATCTCGTCTATGCTCTAGTTCTGCTCCTGCTTCTCCCTCGCCGCCTGCAGTTTCTTCTTCTCCTCCTCGCTCGCGTACTTGAGCAATGCCTCTCGGGGCTGTCCGTCAGTTTCCCACTCATACCCATGCAACTCACATCTTCGGTCGGCTCGAGGCGGCGCTTGAACACGTCCTGCACAAATCCTGCCGTGGCACTGGCGCCGACGCGCCCACCCCGTCCCACGCCCGAGACGGGCTCCGTGGGCTTGAACCGCTTCGCGGCCTTTTGCTGCTGGTGCAGACTCTGCCCGTATGCGTTCTGGATCCCGCCATGCGCGTCGGGCGTGAACACGACCGGCGTCAGATCCGCCGTCGTGAAGCTCAGGTCGCGCGGACCACTGCGCGGCATCTTGGCCAGAGGCAGGAGCGCGCCGTGGATGCTCGCCTGGGGCGAGTAGAGCACGTACACCTGCCCGTTGGAGAGGGTGCAGAAGAGCTGGTTGATGCGCGAGTGCCAGAGCACCTTGATCACGCTCGCTTTCGCGATTGGCACGCGGCGCACGACCTTCAGGTCCTCGGACGAGAGGAAGAGCACCTCGCCGACCGCGGTCTCGTCCCGAGGGTCGATCGCCGTGCCCACCAGGACGTACTTGCCGTCAGGGGAGAAGGAGACATTCGTCTCACTGTACCGGCACGCAATGCCTGTGGCGACAGCGAGTGGCTTGCGCGGCGACCTCGGGTCCCACACTGGGGTCAGTTCACCGTACCTCCGCTTCAACTTACACTTGACAGTCTCGTCCATGCTGCGCGAGACGAGCTTCTTCCCGTCAGGAGAGAACGCAACGCCCGTGATCTCCTGTCCCTTCTCGTGTGCCGTCTCCGAGCTCCGATCCGGTCGGGCCAGGTTCGACGCCGTTTTCCAAACATGGATCGTGCCGTCGAGACAGCCTGAAGTTAGCTGTCAAAGCACTCCCATAAGCTTACCAGCAGCGATGAGGGAGCCATCAGGTGACCACGCACACGATGTGACGTGCGTCTTATTTCCGCGCTCCTTGGACCGCACGACAATGACTTGCTTCTGCTTGCTTCGGTCGTTCACGTCCCATATCCGCAGCGTCGAGTCGTTGCTTGCGGTGAGGAAGAGGTCGCGGTCGTGCGGATGCCACTGGCCCGCGTTGATCTCGGCGGTATGTCCTCTGGTTTGTTAGCTAATCAGGCGACTCACAACAGCTCAGAGGATCTCAGACAGGGCTTTGGTTACAAAAGCCTGATCGTCAAGATCGGCAGGCTGCGACTCACTTGGTCGTCTTCATGTCACGGATGTACACGTCTCCCTTCATGAACTCCTTCTGGTCGTCGCCATCGCGGCTGAAGACCTTGGGGTAGAACGTTCCACTGATCGCCAGCAAATGCTTGCCGTCGGGCGAGTAGCTAAGGTCTCGGACAAAGTACGACCCGTTGGGCTCAAAGCTCTTGAACGGACGCAGGCGCGCGTCCATGCCTCCAAAATCCCACAGCTTGCAGTCATAGTCGTAGCTTCCGGTCGCAACGCGGGCACCAGAGGGGTCGACGGCAACAGCGCTCACGGGCTGATGTCAGCTTGCGCACAGGTGAGTGAAACATACCTTTGTGTGGTCCTTCAGCACGATCTCGTGCGTCACTGGTGTCCGATCTTCCTCCTCCTCGAGCTCGGCGTCTGAGTCGCTGTCATCGTCTGCCTTCCGCTTAGTCGAGGGGGGGATTGGGCCAATCTCCTCGTCGCTCTCCTCCTTCGGAGCCTCCTCCTTTGGCTTCTCGGGCGGCGGCGCCTGGATGTTAGTTGCTCGACATAGCTGTAACTCACGACAACGGGCTCGCGCTTCGTCTGCGCGACGTTGGCCTGCACCGTCTTCGTCCGCGCCTTGGCGGAAGGCCCCTTGGCCTTCTTGCCGAAGCTCATGGGGAGTCCAAAGTCCTCCATGTTTGCTGATGGGTGTGTGAGTGGATGCAGAGCCCATAGGTGGAGGAGCGACCATGACGAAAGGGAGTGGCAAAAGTCAAAACAAATTTGCTTCCGTTGCGTGGCACTGTTGCTTCATCGTGACTTCATTCACACTGACATCGTATGGAACTCGAGAAATGCTATGGACGGGTGGGGGCTGCTATGAAAGGCCTCGCGCCGTAACGAGGAGGTTTGATGCTGTATATTGGGATGAGCGGACGGGGGAGCCCGCATGAGGTCTACGTAATATGGGAGCTGGCTCTGGCTGTCGTCCTCAAACAACAACAGGCAGACGCGGGAAAAATTGTATGGATGGTATAGATGCTTGATGGCCTAATCTAAAGTGGGGTATAGCGGCGCGGGTAACAGGGCTGACTGGGCCCGACAAGTGGGCAGTCGGCATGTGAGGACACGGACAATCATAAAGTACAAGGAGCAAGCAAGCGGGTGCTTACACCTGGTAACGCTCACGAAGGCGGTCTCGGATGACGGACGGGAACGCAGCGACTTGCGCATTCCAGCCCTCGTCTCCCAGCTGAGCCTTGAACGCCTGCAGAATCTGGCGGAACATGTTGTCCAGCTCGCGCGACGGGTGCTGCCACTTGCACACGGCGTTGCAGAACCAGACAAAGCTCGATTCGAGACCCTGCGGGTTGGCACCGATGAGCATGCAGAAGCCGCGGAACGCAGAGTCCTTCTCGTCGTTGTCCTTGATCTCCCACAGGGCGATGCACCACGCCTGAGCAAAGGTGCCGAGGTGCGGGGCGACGAGGCTCGGGCAGACGAGTCCGAGACGACCAATGGTAACGGCGGCATTCTCAGAGAGCGACTTGGGCGACTTGCTGTTGAGCAGAATAGGGATGAGGCGCTTGATGAGGTCGTCGACGAAAGGCTCGATCGGAGAAGCGTCACCCTTGTACTGGATCGCAATCTCACCCGCAGCCCAGGCGGCGTTGTTGCACACCGAGATGCACTCGGTAGGCGGCTCCGGCGTGATTTGCTCGATGATAGCGGGCATGAGCTGGGGCACGTGGGGGCGAAGCAGGGGGAAGCAAGTCATGGCCATGTCACCGAGGAGGGCGTGGGCCGACTGGCGGACGGGAGGCTCAAAGTGGTTCAGGCACATCGCCACGAGCTGGAGAAGAGGAGGCTCGGCGCTGGCAATGAGAGAGGGCATCTCGTCCGCGAGACCCTGGGCAAGACCCGACAGGAGGTCGAGGGCGACGACGATGAAGGTGCGGTCGGGCTCATCGATAGTGTCGGGGCTGGCAGTGAAGGCGTCCCACTGCATGAGCGACTGGTGAATGATCGAAATGCAGCGCTGGTAGACGGGCTGGGCGTACGGGCCGAACGCTTTGCCGGCGGCGAGCGTGACCGACGAGAGACACTCAAGGAGCGGCACGAGGTCAGGGTCCGAGTCGCTGAGCGACATCCACTTCTCGATGAGAGGGGGCATGAGGATCTCCATGTACTGGGGAGTGCCGAGAGCGCCCATGACCGAGTCGGCAAGCGTTCCCATGGCGTCGTAGAGGATAAGGAGGTTCTTCTGCTGGTACTTGCTGAACGCGTAAGTGAGGTTGCGCAGGATGGGCTCGAGGAAGGGGACGAGCTCGCCACCGGCCTCCTCCTCGAGGGTCGCGAAGGCGGAGCATCCAGCCTCCTGGACACGCTTGTTCGAGTCGAGAACCATCTGCAGGAGACCCTCCATGGTCGGGATGAAGAAGGTCTGCTTGTCCTGGGCGGAAACAGCGACAATCCAGGCGGAGTAACGGCCAAGAGTCCAGCAGGTGATCGAGCGGACGAGAGCCTTCTTGTCCTTGAGGGCGGTGATGAGCCAGGGCACAAGCTGCGACAGGTGGGGCTCGAGACCGTTAATGCAGCCCTCGGCGATCGCACCGAGCGCGAGGATACCAGACTCCCTGTAGCGCCAGTCGTCGTGGAACAGACGCTCCTTCAGGTAGGGTAAGAGGATCTCGAGGAGGTCGTTGCCAAAGGAGACGGCCATGACGTCGAGAGCAGCCGCGGAACACTTGCGAATGTTCCACTCGGCAGCTCCGTCCTCGTCGTCGTCATCAAAGTCATCATCATCATCCTCATCGTCATCGTCGAGGGCACGGTCAGCAGCCTCACGCGACTTGCCGGCACCACCGCTCGAAGCGGAAGCCTCGTTGGTCTCGTGGGCACCGTGGGACTTGCCGCCGTAAGCACGGGGCTTGATGTCGGTCTCCTTGTCGGGAACCGCCTCGTCCTCCTCGTCGTTGTCCAAGTACAGAAGGTCGATATCCGAGTACTTCATGCCCTCGAGCAGGAGAGGGGCAACCTTGCCGAGGTAGGGGCGGAGCTGCTCCTTGAGATTGGGGTCCTCAGCGAACGTGAGCCAGAACTCGCAAGCCTCCAGGGCAACAGTCTCGTCCGAGTCGGTCGTGCAGTAAGCAATGTAGTCGACGACGTTCTTCATCTCCGGGACAAGCTTGTCGGGACGGCTGCCGAGGATGAGACCAAGCGCGGCACAAACGGTGCGGCGAATGTCCGCGGACGGGTCAGAGGCACGCTGGAAGAGAGACTGCAGGTAGGCATCAATGTTGGCGTTAATGGAGGGTATCCGGAGGGCAGACAGCGACTGCAGGGTCTCGAGAGCGTACAGACGGATCTTGGGGTCGGAGTGGCCGGCAAAGGCGATGAACTGGGGAACGAGGTGGTCAAGGAGGTTCGCGCCCGAAACAGTCATGTCCAGACGATGAGGGCAGTCCTCAGAGAGCTTTTGGAAAGTGTTGAAAACACCCTGTCACGTTAGTCACGGTCGTGGGCCATCAAAACTCACGTCAACAAGGTTGGCATCCTGCGAGCCCATGCCCTTCGTAAGAGCGTCGAGGGCCTCGGGCCAAGCACCAGTCTCCTCGTTGTACAAGATGGCCATGATGGTGGTACCGGCAGTGTGTCGGACCTTCTCGTTGGACTCTCCCAGTCCGAGCAAGACCGTGCTCTTAACGTAGGCCATGGCGCGGGCGTCGGCCTCAGTCGACGCCGGTCCATGACGCTGGATCAGAGCGTTTTTCAGAAGAAGACCAGCGATGACACGGTGGCCAGCATCCTCGTTGGTGGCGTGGACAAGGACGTGCGAGAGGTAGGCGAGGAAGTCGGGAACATGACGAAGTTCTTCAAGACGCTGGCGATGGTTAGCAAATTATGCGATGCACGACGGCTAGCTTGGACGTACAGTGGTGACGGCCCTCTGGGTGGCGGTGTCGGCGCTCATCGAGTCCCGAAGCATCTTCAAGACCTCGTTGAGGCCTTCCTGGGCAGGCTGCCAACTCATCTTGAAAGTTGTCTTGAAGAGGTCGAGTCGGGAAGGAAGCGAAGGAAAGGAGAGCCGATGGCTACGTTGAACCTGGACCGGGCTCTGTTCGTGAGAAGACCAAGCACGAAGGAGGTGAAAGAATGGCCAAGGCGGATCGGTGCTGGCGAGATAAAGGAGGGTCGAGAGAGGAGACACAGGCGGAGGTTAGATGGGTGGTCTTTGTCTCTGGCCAGTACGAGTGGTTGAGCTGAGCTGTTGGTCGTCGCCGCAGTTAGGCTGGCGCTGGCGCGGGCGCTGCTTGCGCTGGCCTGGCTGGCCTGGCTGGCACGGCCCAGGGTGCAAGCAAGTCCACGCCTGGCTGAAGTTATTTTGCTCCCGCCACTCCATTCAGCGGCGAATAGAGTCTTGTGGCACCAACCCTTGTCCGTTGGGACAGCGTCACGCATCGACGACTCCCATTCAAGAACTGTATCTGCATTCTGCAGCATGTAGAATGCGCCATGCATGCTTCGTGACACGCTGGCAGGTTTGTTTGCAATGGGCAGTGAAAGCGGCATCCGCTTCAGGCATGCCCGAGAAGTGGCCGCCGCTTCGCGATGGGCTGCAGTTTCAAAGCGATGATTCGCATACCTGTGCACCTCTGGGTTCTGATAGTGCGTCCCATGCAAGGAGGCGTGACGGCAGGCCGTGCAGGACTGTGCAGCCTGTCCGTGTCCATCGACGAGGACACCGATCTTGTGCGATCTGCGCTAACGGCTGTTGGGTGGCACGCCATCAAGGGTCGGACCTCTGCTACATCATAGTCCAGCCTATCGGCAGAGGAACGCCGCATTTCGCACTCGCCGACTCCGGGCATCCAGCGGCCCCCATCCAGGATCGCTGTAGGACCTCGCACCCAGGTACACTAGACGGTAGCCGGTAGAGCGGTGCCTCCACTTAAGCGTATCGTAGGCGTGCCAGGACCACTAAGCGGGTTCAAACCCTCCGACCCACGTGCCTACTGCCACTCGCGGAATTATCCCATCCCCGCCAGGCACCGTCTCGCGTGTGCTTTCTGTTGTTGACATCAACAACAACAAACAACCACAGTGGTCGAGACGCGCCACTGACATACACCGCACCGACCCCATCCACCATGCCGCCGAGGAGAACAACCCGGTCCGCCGAGACCGCACCGAGAACATCCACTTCGACACGTTCGACCCGGTCACGAGCGTCGGCTACCGTGCTCTCCCCGGTCCGCTCCGAAGCTTCGCACGGCGGATTCCCCGGCGAGGACAGCGAGAGCGAGGAGGATCTTCCGAAGCCGAGCACCGTCGCCAAGAAGAAGGTGCCGGTTTCTCGTGCTCCTTTGAGGCGGAGTACTCGCGCCAGCGGTAACATCCCCTCGCCCGAGCCGGAGGAGGCCAAGGCGGCGAAGCCGAAGAAGAAGCGGGTGGTCGAGTCGGATTCTTCGTCGGAGGAGGACCTCGAGGACTATGTGACTGCTCCCTCTGCGCGATCGAGGTCATCCATTACGCAGACGCCTTCGACGTACCACTCGCTACCGACGCCGCCGCCAGACTCGCTCAGCGAGCGCGCGACGCCCGAGCCCGAAGCGGAGCATGACAACGATGAGAACATGCGCACCCCGCGGGCACCGCAGACTCCGAAGGGGAAGGGGCGCGACGACGGTGACCGCACCGTTCGACGAGGGTCGCCCGAGTCGTCGCCTGACATCCCCCGCGACTTATTACCGCCCAAGACGCCCATCCGCGCTGTCCCGCTTCCCACCGTCGCAACTCCGGCCGCTCCCACTGCAGCCCCGCCGAAGCCTCGACTTGTCATCCACAAGCTCGTCCTCAACGACTTCAAGTCGTACGCCGGCCGTCAAGAGATTGGCCCCTTCCACAAGTCTTTCTCTGCCATTGTCGGCCCCAACGGAAGTGGCAAGAGTAATACGATCGACGCGCTCCTGTTCGTGTTCGGTTTCCGTGCCAGCAAGATGCGTCAGGGCAAGCTCAGCGAGCTGATCCACAACTCTGCTGGCAAGGAGGGTCTTTCGAACTGTTCCGTCGAGGTGTGGTTCAAGGAGATTGTGGACCTGGTGAGTGTGCTGCTTAGATGGGGCTAACTTTAGCCCGGCATGGACAACTATCTCGTTGTGCCCAACTCGCAGCTGGTCGTCAAGCGTACCGCGTTCCGCAACAACTCGTCGACTTACACGATCAACGACAAGACGAGTACGCACAAGGAGATCACGACGCTTCTGAAGGGCAAGGGCATTGACCTTGACCACAACCGTTTCCTGATTCTCCAGGGTGAGGTCGAGTCGATCGCCCTCATGAAGCCCAAGGCGCAGAACGAGCACGAGGACGGTCTTCTCGAGTACTTGGAGGATATTATCGGTACCGCCAAGTACAAGGAAGCCATCGAGCAGGCGTCCGAGGAGGTCGAGGGTCTGAACGAGGAGCGCGGTGAGAAGATGAACCGTCTCCGTGTCGTCGAGCGCGAGAAGGCTACGCTCGAAGACAAGAAGCGCGAGGCCGAGGACTACCTCCGCGACACGAACGAGCTCACTCGCAAGAAGTCCCTCCTGTGGCAATACCACATGCACACGCTCCAGAGCAACATCGAGATCACCACCAAGGCCATCGACCAGCTCAATGCTCAGCTCGCCGAGGAGCAAGAGCGCAACGCCCACCATCTCGCACAGATTGAGGACCTCCAGAAAGGCTACGACGCCAAGCTCGCAGACTTTGAGGAAGTCAAGCGTCTCACTGACGCACTCGTCAAGGACGCCAAGAAGATTGAGAAGGAGGAGGTCGGTCTCTCCGAAAAGAAGAAGCATCTCGTCTCAAAGCAAAAGAAGCTTAAGAAGTCGGTCACTGAGGACGGGCATGCGAGGTCGGAGGCTCTCGGCACTGTGCAGAACTGCGAGGGTCAGCTGGAGACCAACCGCGCCAAGGTCGCTGACCTCGAGGTCAAGCTTGAGGCTGAGGAGCGGGAGCTTGAGGAGGTTCGCGACAGCCTGAAGGACAAGACCGACGAGTTCACGACCAAGATCGAGGCGAAGCAGCGCGAGCTCGAGCCTTGGACGGCCAAGATCAACGAGAAGCAGTCCGCCATCGACGTCGCCCAGTCAGAGCGCGATCTGCTTGCGCAAAAGGCGACTGGCGCGCAGGAGGCGCTCGAGGAGGCTCACGCTGCGCTGCAGGCCGTCCGCGATGGTGATCAGTCAAAGCATGAGGAGTATGCCGCTCTGAAGAAGGAGGCGGCCAAGGCCAAGAAGGAGCTCGCCGAGGCCGAGGAGACGCTCGAGTCGATGAACGCCAAGTCTGAGAAGCTCCGCGCCAAGGTCTCTGCCTCTCGCCAGAAGACCGACGACGCAAAGGCTTCGCTCGCCGCGGACAAGTCAGAGAACGCCGTCCTTGCCTCGCTCAACAAGCTCAAGGCGCAGGGTCGTATCAAGGGCTTCCACGGCCGCCTCGGCGACCTCGGTGTCATTGACGACAAGTACGATGTCGCCGTCACCACTGCATGCGGTGCACTCAACAACCTAGTCGTAGACACGGTTGAGCAGGGTCAGGCCTGTATCGAGCACCTCCGCAAGGGCAACGTCGGTCGTGCTTCCTTCATGGTGCTCGAGAAGCTCCCCGCGCATGACCTCAGCCGCATCGAGACGCCCGAGAACGTACCCCGACTCTTTGACCTGATCAAGCCCAAGGACCCCCGCTTTGCCCCTGCTTTCTACAAGGGACTCTTCAACACGCTTGTTGCCAAGGACCTCGAGCAGGCTCAGCGTATCGGTTTTGGCAAGAAGCGCTGGCGAGTTGTCACCCTCGACGGCAAGCTCATTGACCCCTCTGGAACCATGTCCGGTGGTGGCAACCGCGTCGCCCGCGGCGGTATGAGCTCCAAGTTCAAGGCCGACAAGGTCGCTCCCGAAGTCGTGCACCGCTACGAGCAGGAGCTTGCCATTGCCGAGGGCGACCTTCAGGCCTTCCTGGCTGAGAAGAAGGCTCTTGAGCAGCAAGTCACGCAGCTCCGCAAGCGCATCCCTGACATTGAGATGCAGATGGAGAAGATCCAGCTCGACGTCCAGACGGGCTCGAAGCGCATCGCTGAGGCTGAGAAGCGCATCGCGGAGCTCACCGCTCAGAGCAAGCCGGACGTTGCCGACCAGAAGCGCATCGCCACTCTGGACGCTGAGATCGCCACAATCACAAAGGAGGTCAACAAGTTGAAGGAGAAGACGGGCGCGATCAACGAGCAGATCAAGGAGCTCCAGAACAAGATTCTCGACGTCGGTGGTGTCCGCCTGCGTGCGATCCAGAGCAAGTTTACAACGACGAAGGGTCTCCTTGACCTCGCCAACGAGGCTATTACCAAGGCCGAGGTGAACCAGGCTCAGGCCGAGCGCACCGCGCAAAAGCTCGAGAAGGCGATCGCCGCGAACAAGGAGAAGCTGGACGAGTGCGACACTGAGATTGAGGCGGTCGAGGCGGACCTGCAGGCCTGCTCGGCCGACCTGGCTGTGATCCAGGAGAAAGTCCAGGAGGCCCAGGAAGCGACGACCGATGTCCAGGAGGCGCTCGCCGAGTCCAAGGCTGCGCTTGACGAGGCGTCCGTCGAGGTCAACGCGTTCCGGAAGCTCGAGGTGGACATCAAGCAGAAGCTCGAGGACAACATGCGCCTGCAGAAGGACTCGAAGGACAAGCATCGCCACTGGGCTAAGCGCCACGACGAGCTCGAGCTGGCGTACATTGACGAGGACGATGAGGATGAAGACGAGGAGAAGACGCCGAGCCCCGAGGGTGAAGACGAGCAGACGCCGAGCCCCGAGGACGACGAGGAGACACCGGCGCCGAAGAAGCACAACTCGATGGAACTGGTCGAGTACAGTGCGGACGAGCTGCGAGCGGTCGACAAGGACCTGCTGAACGGCGAGATTGCACAGCTCGAGGAGGATATCTCCAAGGCGAAGCCCAACCTGAACGTGCTGAACGAGTACCGACGACGCGAGGCCGAGTTCCTCGACCGTGCTCGGGATCTCGAGACGGTGACGCAGAACCGCGACGCGGCAAAGCAGCGCTACGACGACCTGCGCAAGGTGCGCCTGGACGAGTTCATGGCCGGCTTCAGCGCGATCAGTGCCAAGCTGAAGGAGCTGTACCAGATGATCACAATGGGCGGCAACGCCGAGATCGAGCTGGTGGACACGATGGACCCGTTCAGCGAGGGTGTCGTGTTGTCGATTATGCCGCCGAAGAAGTCGTGGCGCCCCATCGCCAACCTGTCCGGAGGCGAGAAGACGCTAGCCTCGCTCGCGCTGGTATTCGCGCTGCACGTCTTCAAGCCGACGCCGCTGTACTTCATGGACGAGATCGACGCGGCTTTGGACTTCAAGAACGTGTCCATTGTCGCCAACTATATCCAGAGCAAGACGCAGGCTGCGCAGTTCATTGTCATCTCGCTGCGCAACGACATGTTTGAGCTCGCGCACCGCCTCGTCGGCATCTACAAGACGAGCAACTGCACCAAATCGGTCGCGATCGACAACAAGGACCTGCGCACACAGGCGCTCCGTAAGGGCGCGCCGACGCCCGGTCGGCCCCTCACGACCCCCGGCACGGCGAGGCCGCCGCGCCCGGCACGGCGAGGCCGCCGCGCCCGTCGGCCCTCAGCACGGCGTCTGTGGCCGCGACGCCCATGGTTGCGGCGACCCCGACGCCGAGAGCGTTAGTCTAGTATACTCGTGCGTAATGTCGACCGTAGCTTCGTCGTGCTTAATGGTTTCCTCTTCTGTCTCTGTCTCTGCTTGTTCATGTTGTACCCCTAGATGCATGCGATACCGATTGGCGTAAACCTGAGCAGTGATGCCTTTTATGAATGTAAACTACTACATCTGTCTATTCTCTACGTCCACGCCACTTCCTGCACTCACTCAACGCTCCCTCGTCTGGCCGACTCGAAACTCGACTTGCGCTCGCTCCGCGCTCCGCGCTCCGCGCTCCGCGCTTCGCTCGCCGCTCACTTGACCCACTCCCTCGGCTCCTTGAGGACCTTGATGAGCTCCTCCTCGCGGCTGCCCTTGACATCACCGGTAGGGCACATGTACTGCCACTTTGCCGTCTCGGGGAGACTCATGAGGATACTCTCGATGCGCGCGCCGGGCACATTGAGGCCAAACTTGGTGCCGCGGTCGTAGAGCAGGTTGAACTCGACATAGCGTCCGCGGCGGATGAGCTGCCACTCCCGCTCGGCAGGGGTGTAGGGCGTGTTCATCCTCCTGAGCACAATGGGCACATAGGCAGGGAGGAAGGAGGCCGAGGCACTCTTGGCAAAGGCGAAGATGTCCTCCTGGCTTGGATTCCTGCCCCCGTGGATCGGCGAGGTGGACGTCAGGTCGTCGTAGAAGATGCCGCCCACGCCGCGCGTCTCCTTCCGGTGCGGCAGGTAGAAGTACCGGTCGCACCACTTCTTGTACGCCGGGTAGTAGGCCGGATCGTGCTTGTCGCACGCCTCCTTGAGCGTTTTGTGGAAGTGCTCCGCGTCCTCGGGGTAGAAGTATGTCGGGGTCAGATCGGACCCGCCGCCGAACCACCACGCCAGCGTCTTGGAGGGATCCTTCGGGTCGGCCGTCTCAAAGTAGCGGTAGTTCAGGTGGCAGGTGGGCGCGTGGGGATTGCGCGGGTGGATCACGATACTGATCCCAGTGGCGAAGTAGGGCAGCGGCTCGTCGCTGATCGGGATGCTGTCGTGCTCCTGCCTCATGTGCGTCTGCATCGCCTTGGAGAGCTTGCCCTCGACAATGGACACGTTCACGCCCGCCTTCTCGAACACGCGCCCGCCCTGGAGCACACACGACGAGCCCTCGCCGCCCGAAGGTCGGATCCAGTGGTCACGCAGGAAGGTCTGCGCCTCGTGCTCCCCGTCTGGAGGCGCTGAGGCCTCCACAGCCTCCAGAGTCTTCACAATGTGGTCCTGCATGTTTGAGACCCAGGTCGCCATGCGGATACGCATGGGGTTCTGCCGTCAGCAAAGGCCCGGTATCGAGGCCGCTAGGCCGAGATGCTTCTGCTGCTGCCGCACTGCAGGCTATCGCGCCTTCTGCCCGGCGAGCATGTGTGTCGTCTTGCTCTCTCTCGGCATCCGCCGCATCGGCCTGCGGCCGACGCCTGGCCCGCAACTCACCTTCGGGTCGTCCTGCTCGATGGCGTGGACGGGTTCCCAGGGCGCGCCAAATGTCTCAATCACCTCGACGCAGGGCGTGCCGTCGAGCCGCGTGGGATTGCTCCGGGCGTATCCGGCCGCGAGGGCCGCGACGAGACCGACAGCGGCGCCGCCGAGCGCGAGGCGCTTCAGATCGACCTTGGGCTGTTCGTTGTTGTTGCCGTTGTTACCGGTGCTGTAGCCGCGGGCCGAGGGGGCGGCGCGGAGGACGCGAGGCGCCGAGCGGACGGCTGGCCGCGCGAGGCGGAGGGAGTGGCGGTACATTGCTGTTGATGGATGGATGGTGGAAAGGAAGGGAGGAAAAAGACAAAGGAGGATGTGCAAGGTAGAAATCAAGGAACGATGACAGCGAGGTACGGGTGATAGCCGGATCTTATCGGTCGGGCACGGCCGGTGTCGCTGTGAGTAGTGATGGCCAGACAGCGAGAGGGTATGTGTCAGGTGTCGTGGATGTCGCCGATGGACTGTGTGCGCGTGCGTGAGCGAGCAGAGGCGCAGTGGATGACTACTCTGTGTGGACCGGGGATATGGGCGAATGGCGGCTCGTCATTTGCCGGGAAGAGCCGGACACCGCCGGCCCCCACCCAGTGCATGGTATGCCACATGATCACTCTCTCACTGATTGGGAGCGAGCCGAGCCAGACAGACACATGCCGAACGACAGTGCTCTCACGCCGCCGCCCATCTGCAACAACAACATTACTACTCCATTGTCCTCTCTCGGGGCACCACTCGGCATCCACCGCAGTCTACACCGACTACTCACCGACTCACTCCGACCACCACCCCCCCTTGTCTCAGCCCTCTCCCCGCAGCTTATTCCGCTTAACCTTACCGACAAGCTTCGGCAACCTTCGCCCAGCCTCACCCCGGTGCACCATGTCCAAAGGCATGCTGAGCGCGGCGGCCCGCGTGTGGTCCCGCGCCGCAGCTCTCCAGGCCGAGGAGGCGGTCATGATGGCCTCGCCCTCCCTCCGCCCGCAGATCTACGAGGACCCCGTCGTCTACCGGCCACCGCCGGCCGTGCCGCGCACCCGCGCCTTTCCCCGCCATACCCTCCGCCACGAGCGCCGCCGAGCACCTCGCGCCCGCCCACCGGACCCGCCCACGAGCACCAGGACATCAAGGAGCAGGATGAGATGTGGTCCGACCCCCGTCGGCACGTCGAGGTTGAGGTGTTTGACGAGCCGGCCCAGCCGGTGAAGGCGCAGCCGCAGGTGGAGAAGAAGCCGGCGCAGGTGGAGAGGCCGGCGGCAGTGTCGGCTACCGTCGCGGCGCTGCAGAAGCAAGCGGACAAGCTCGAGAGCCAGTATACTGCCAAGCCTAGCCCGAGACCCGTCCCCGTCGCCCCCGCTGTCAAGACGGCGGCTGCCCCGACGCCGACGCCGAAACCCGCGGTTGCCGCGGCGACTCCGGAGGTCAAGAAGCCGTTCGTCGTCGACCCCAGCGTCGACCCGATGACGTACCTGCCGCAAGTCGAGGCGGACCCCGAGGACGTAAGTTGTGTTGCTCGGAGAGATAACTGACGCCCAGGTGCCTGTCGTGCTCCGCTCGTCGGCTGTGCCCTCCTCCCGCCTCGGACGTCTGTTCCATTACGGCTCCCTCGGCGCCTCGCTTGCCCTCGGTGCAGCCGGGGAGACATTTCGCCGCACGACCGGCGGCGGCGGCCAGGGCAGCGTGTTCATGAGTGACGCGAACGTGCGCCGCCTGGTCGCCACGCTGGGCCGTATGCGCGGCGCAGCGCTCAAGCTCGGCCAGTTCATGAGTATCCAAGACAACACGATCCTCCCCCCCGAGCTCGAGCGTGTGCTCGCGCAAGTCCAGGCGCACGCAAACTACATGCCCGACTGGCAGCTCGACCGCGTCATGACCGCCGAGCTCGGGCCGGAGTGGCAGGCCAAGTTTCTCGCGTTCGACCGGACGCCCGTGGCCGCCGCGAGTATAGGACAAGTGCACCGCGCAACGCTCAAGGACGGCACCCACGTCGCGGTGAAAGTGCAGTTCCCCGGCGTCGCGGAGAGTATTGGCTCCGACATTGCCAACCTCTCCATCGTGCTCCGGGGGAGCGCCCTGCTGCCCAAGGGCATGTACCTCCAGAACACGATTGCGGTCATGAAGCGCGAGCTCGAGGACGAGTGCGACTACGAGCGCGAGGCGGACGCGGGCAAGAAGTTTGCCGCCCTGCTCGAGGGCGACAGCGTCTTCGACGTTCCCAGGGTCATTGAGGGGTGCACGTCGAAGCGCGTCCTCACGACGGAGTGGGCCGACGGACGGCCGCTCAGCAAGCTCCGCAACCTGACGCAGGAGCAGCGTGATCTGGTATGTAACCGGGGGCAGCCGCAGGCTGTCCCATGGCGGCTGTCCTGCACGGACAGCTTCGCACCTCTCGAATCATTAGCTAATGGCCAGATCGGCACCAACGTGCTCCGCCTCTGTCTCGAGGAACTCTTCAAGTTCCGCTTCATGCAGACGGACCCGAACTGGGGCAACTTCCTCTTCCTCCCGTCCTCGGGGCGGATCCAGCTGATCGACTTCGGTGCCAGTCGCGAGTATACACCCGAGTTCATGGCGGGGTGGTACAAGCTCCTGTCCGCTGCGCTGTCGGGCGACAAGCCGGCGATGGTGGCCGAGTCCCAGTCCCTCGGGTATCTGACGGGCGAGGAGGAGCCGGACATGGTCGACGCGCACATTGCGAGCATGTCTGCGCTGGCGCGGCCGTTCCAGCACCAAGGTCTTTACGACTTCAGCAAGCAGACGGTGACGGACGAAGTAAGGGCCAACATCCCCGTCATGCTCGAGAAACGCCTCACGCCCCCGCCCGCACCGACTTATTCCCTCAATCGCAAGCTCAGCGGCGCGTTCCTCATGTGTGCCAAGCTTGGCAGCCAGGTTGACTGCAAGAAGCTCTGGGACGAGGCGACGGAGACGTACCAGAGGGAGTTTGCGCAGGCCAAGGTCTAGGCGAGCGGCGAGCGGCGAGCGCAGCGAGCGAAGCGAGCCGTGAGCCGTGAGCCGACGGGTCGCCGTGATCCAGACATGGGGAGAAGAGGAGTAGCAAGAAGCAAGAAGCCAAAGCAGTAATCAAACAACACCAACAGCATATCACTACCAAATCACAACAAGCGTGCGCGTCAGAAGATGAGAAATGGCAAGTTCAGAAGTTTCCGTATGCATTGCATGGGTTGTTGCCACCGGAATCGAGGGGCTTGAGTGCCGGTTGGCCTTGTTGCAAGGATTAGCTTGACACTCTCTCACAGTTTGTAGGAGGTGAAGTGATATGGACACGCCACGGTGGCTATCTTGCATCAGCGATGTGCAAGGAGACGGCACCTTCTCAGCTCTCGGATGCACCCTCTGACGCACGACAAACAGAATAATACATACATGCATATAGTCCGAGCACTTTATCATTACACCTTAGGGAGCACCCGTGTAGAGCTGCTGACCATTCTTCTTGAACCCCGTGATGGCCTTTTGCGCGCTGGGCCCAGTGACCCACTGTGCGGACTGCTTTGCGCGATCGGGGTTGGGCGCCTTGGCGCCGACAAGCACTCTTGCAGGGTTCAGCAGCGGGTCGTCGGCCTCGTCGCTTCCAGCCTTGAAGATGCGGGTCTTGTTCGCAATCCCAGCGTCGAGGGAGAGCAGCGTCCCGCGGTCCGTTATGGTGTACTCGCCGAGCTTGATTGCGGCCTCGAGCGCCTGCAGGGGGAAGGCGACGTACTGGTGGTACCACTTCGAGTAGGTGTTGGCCCAGGGCACCTGCCCGATGCCCGTCCACAGGGCCGACTCCTTGATGTTGGTCGCAGACTTGTCGAAGCGGGACAGGAAGCGGACGGTGCCGTTCTTGCTCTTGTCCTCGGCCGCTTCGTGCAGGTCTGCAAACATTGTGCTGATGTCTGAGGTCTCGTTCAGGTTGGCCGGGTTCGACTGCGGGCCGACGAGCAGGAAGTGGTCCCGGAATGCATAGTAGGGCGGGTCGGTCGCTATGCCGCGCTGAATGGCGATCTTCTCTGCCGCAAAGGAGTAGGTGATCCCGACGTCCAGAATGCCAGACGCAAGGTATTCGATGCTGTACGTCGTGTCCGAGACGTACCACGCGACAGTGAAGGGAGACGAGCCGTTGGCGACACTTTCGGAGATGAACTTGTCCGCGAGCACTTTGACGAGACCGCTCTGACCCGCGCCGCCGTTGCCGATACGAAGGCCGACGGTGCTGTTGCCACTCGTGGTGTTGGCAATTCCGCCGTCGTAGATCGCTTCCGGGGACTGTGCGAAGACGAGGTGGAACAGGGGGAGAAGGAAGGTGAGAACGAGTGTGAGACTGTAAGAGGTCATGATGGTGGGCGTGGGGTGACTCACTTGCGGGGAGCAGAGCTCTTAAGTGTTGGAGAGAGCTGCGAGACAGGATGCTGGAGCGGCTTGCGTGGTCCAGTTTCCCCTCTCCTCTACCCTTCTGTTGTTCTCCTTCTAGCCCCACGCTAACGCGCCGGGCTAGAAGATGTCAGACGTCGCTAGAGCATGGAGCACATGGTGTTTGGGCCAGCGTGGTCCAGCTCTCGAGCCTCGATCCTCCTCAAGGCTTGAGATCTGAGATGAACGTGACCGGGGCGCAGTGAGTAGCATGCTCAGTGAGCGGAGCGAGCTTGATCCGGTCATGTCGAGACGCTACGCCCCGGCGCCAATGAAACAGATGCAGGCACTCGCATGCGCCACTGCTGGTCTGGTCCACCGTCCCAGCGTGGCTAGCGCCCTGGAGGCGAGGACGGTGCCAAGAGTGGAGCATGCATGTTTGCGATAGTGTGGTCTATCACTGAAGCCCGCGCCCGCGCATTGCGCAATCTGCCCGCCCCGTCATCTTGGCCTTCACTGGTCAGTGGTGACTCACCGCCAAGCACCCTTGATCGGTGCCCGACACAGTGCCCGGTTGCCCGGACCGAGTGCTGAATCTCGTAAGAACCCCTTTCCTCCACCTCGCAGTCGTCATGGCAAAAAGCGCTTGCTGATAGGATGGACTCGTCCACTGCAACGCGGAACCCGGGTCAATAAAGGAGTTTCCGGTGGAGCAGCAATTATGCCCATTCATCGATCATGGGAAGCGCCCTGGTGCCCGATGGAAGAATTGGAAGTCGCAGTCATTCATTGCGTGAGCTGCGTGGCTGTGAATGCGTTTAGGAGATCTCGATACTCGGTTCCGGGGTTAGCCAAGGTGGGGGTGGATGAGGTGGAGAGGTGGCTGCGGAATGCCCGATTAGATAACCACGTGGGACGCACCTACCACAGTTTGGCGTTGGCATGAGCATAAGCTTGGCGCTACTATGAACATTGCGCCTCGCCGACGCAGACCCCTTGCAGCCTTTGGGCGCCGCAAAGACATACGCTCCGTGACTACGGTGTGGGCCATGCCCAGGCGTCAGAGCTCCACGGCCTCCACGCAACCTCGTTCGCGCTGCGTCCTCATTGCCACCCATACTCCACTTTCCAATGTTCCCACTTCCACCATAACCCATTTCAACGTCCAGCAACGCAAGCTCACTTCCGACATTGCCCCACTACCATTTCCACCGCCCGACATGAATCTCGAGAGCATCACCGTAAGATAGAAGCTCGCACTAGCGCCGGCTAGCGAGCAGCAGCGCAAGTATGCCGAGGTTATCGCTCAGCCAGCAAAAATGCCCATGCTTCTCAGCCACCCGTCCCATTTATCACCGCCCTCGACACGACCACGAGCGACAGTGCTCCGGCCTGCCCTCCCCGCCGACCGACACGCGCCAGCCAATCCGATACGCGACCATACACAGGCTGCCGAGATTCCTCTTCCAGGCTCCCGTTAGAGGCGTCTCGGGCCGGATTGCGGCTGAAGCTGGACTACGCGCCACGTGCGGCGGAGATCTCACGGAGCTGCTTGCTGGCATGCTTGACGGGCCGGAGAGGGCACGTCGACCTCGGCCTCGGCAGCGTTGTCGCACAGCAAGCCAGAGCTGCTGTCACTGGCACTTTGCGGCCTGGCAGGGCGAAGCTGCTACGTGTCATGTCTGAACGAGCAACGACCTTCGCACCTCACCTCCTATACAGCCCCTGCGCCCTGTTCCAACCACCGACATCCCCTCCGCACCGACACTCCGCAGTCCCTCTACGCTCATATCGAGCGATTTCTGCACTCCTCTGAACCACCTACACCGCACTTGCTCGTCGACAACTTTTCTCTTCGCTCAACACCGTCTCCTCTCACCCGCCCTCACCCGCCGACCCGTTGCGCCCTCACGCCGATCAAGCTCAAGGGGTTGCATACTGCCACAAATCTATGACGCACACGTTTTTCTGTTAAAACACTGCCACGGCGATCTTTCACATCATCCATATCTCCAGCCTTGGGTGTGTCACGTGAAGTGACACAATGCACTTATAAGTGGCAGACAGTCGCCTGTCTCCCCCTCATCTTCTTCATCCTCTCCATCCCTCACTTCCTTCGCTCCGTCCAGTCTGCTTGTCGCTCCCACCACCATCCCCGTTTCGCCTCCAGCAAAGGGTCTCCGCCGCTCCCCGTTCGAGTAACTGCGGAACCCCAGGTATCGTCTGTTTCTGTACGTTTACCTTCTTCAAGTCGCAAGTCGGCTGGTTTCTTCCTGCTGTCGTCCCGACGCCTAGTAGCGGGGGCGATCATCATAACGCGGACGGTCGTCCCTGCGGTCGTCGTAACGACGGTCCCTGTAATAGTCACTATGATGTATGGTAAGGCTCTCTGTTCCGGGTTCTAAGCGGAGACATGAGGTGTACTCACTCAGGAGGGGGACCACGACGGTAGTCATCGTAGCGACGGTCATCGTAACGGCGGTCGTCGTAGCGAGGGCGGTCGTCGTAACGGCGGTCATCGTAGTAGCGCCTGTCATCGTAACGGGGACCGCCGCGGTCGGAGTAGCGAGAGTCGTAAGAGCGGGGGTGGTAGGGACGGTCCTCATAACCGCCGCCGCCTCCGTAGCGGCCACCACCGCCACCGCCGTAGCCGCCGCCGCCACCGCGACCCTCGTACTTGACGCCGTGGTAGCGACCAGGAGTGGGGGTACGGGCACGCGAGCGCTTGGCGTGGGTGACGGTGAGGACACGACCCTCCTGGTTGGTGCCAGAGAGAGTCGAGATGGCCTCCTCAGCCTCAGCGTTGGTCTCGAACATGACGAAACCGAAGCCACGGGACTCCTCTGACACTGTCAGCTGTGGAAATCGACCGCACTTACGGGTGTGGGGGTCCACCATGACCTGCGCCTTCACGATCTTGCCGCACTTGGAGAACAGGTCCTCAAGCTGGCGGTCGGTGATCGAGCGGGCAAGACCGGAAACGTGCAGGTTGTTACCAGTGTTGGAGTTGGTGCCCTCCTCGGTGTTACTTGAACTGTCAGAGGCTGTCGCGGTTTTGTCAGACAGATGCACTTACCGACCACGGTTGCCGCCGTCACCGCCGCCGTTGCGGGCGGCA